GCGCGGAGCATGCGGCGGCGCGCCTGAGCCCCGGGCGGGCCGGGCCGGGCCGGGGCGCGGATGAGCGGCCATGGCCGCGGCTATCGCCAGCTCGCTGATCCGGCAGAAGCGGCAGGCGAGGGAGTCCAACAGCGACCGCGTGTCCGCCTCCAAGCGCCGCACCAGCCCCAGCAAGGACGGGCGCTCCCTGTGCGAGAGGCACGTGCTGGGCGTCTTCAGCAAGGTGCGCTTCTGCAGCGGCAGGAAGCGGCCGGTGCGCAGGAGACCAGGTCAGTGCCCCCACCTCCCCCCGGGGCAGGGGCAGGGGCATTCAGCCTCTCCCGCGGGCGGCGCAGGGACAACGCACGAGCGGCCTCGCCCGCCCCACCCTGTGCAGCACCCTTCCCGCTTCCCCGGCGCAGGGGTAGGAGCATCCTCTCTGCCCCTTGCGACCGGAGCTGCCCGGTGCCCCAGGTCGGCAAGGCTTCACCCCCCGCCCCGACGCTGCCCCTGCGCTGACCGGGCACCTGTGCCTGGCCGCCACCTCCCCGCGGAGAGCTGAGGCGGGCAGCAGGGGCGCTCTGCACCCCCTGCGCCGGGTGCGCCGGTCTGGACGGGGCGCACATGTGGGTTAACTCTTGGCTTTTCCCTGGTGCCCCGGAGCCACCAGGGCTTGTCGTATTGCTCTGCCTCAACATCTAGCCTATAGCTGCTGTGCCGCTGTCAAAAAAAAAAAAAGGAGGTGAGATTGGGACCAGAGGCCAGTGAGAGTTTTAGGGAACCTCAGCAATTGAATCCGTTTGTTATCCCTGTGGCATCTTGTACTTTCCCACCTCGCTCTCGAGGCTTCCCAGCTCTGATTTCCTCTGTAGTGACAAGGAAATCGATAACGAAGGGGAGGGATTGGTTAAAATCGAGGCCGCTGGATAACTAGGTCCCCCCGGAGTTGCAGTGGGGATTTCATTTGCTTGGAAACCTCACGGGTGGCAACTGCGCAAACTCAGCCCTTGCTGTTCGGCTCCCGGCGGCTCTTCTTCTTGGCGGGGCCTCAGTTTCCCCGCGCCTGCTCTCTGTTGTTTTGTGGCCTGGAAGCAAACGTGACCCCCTTGAAAAGTCCCCAGGCACGCTGCATGCAGCAGAGCTCCCCAGCTTTGCTCTGCTCCCCCCGCTCTCGCTGACGGCTATGGGACTCAGGAGCTTGCTGAGAGCAATTCTGCCTCTTTCCCTCGCCCTCCGGAGACTGCTGTGAACCACCAGGCTCTTGCAAAAAAATAATTTTAAAAAAAGCAATGGTTTTTAGCCGAAGAACTTGTCTGGTGCTGCGGAGCATAGCTGGGCACTTTCCTCCCACCTCTTAGACACACCTACCTGCATTGTGTTTGGCGAGAGTGAGTTTTCAGTAGTTCATGCGACCAGCTGTTCATCGTCTTGTCTGTGTAATGCCCCACACAACCGGAGATCTTCCCTGTTGACTCTCCTTTTTCTTTTTCCCTTCCTCCCCCAGCTAAAGGCAGAGTGAATTCTGCAGTGAGGTATGAGAGCTAGCTGACAGATTCAGACCGGAGTTGTTATGGGCCTGATGTGTACACGGAGGAATTCAGTCTGTCCTCAGATCAGGACTGGGAAGAAACGGGGAGAAGCCTGCTGAGGGAGAAAGCCATTCCCTGGTATTGTTGTCCAGAAAGAAACAAATAATTAATCTGTTGAGCGGCTGTCAGCTGCCATGATTCGCATACCGTGGGGCTGATGCTATCTTTAGCTGGCAAAATGCTTCGGTGCGGGCCGTGCACAGAGAGGGGCTTGCAAACTGAGCTCTTTTGCTGACTATGGGGAAAGTAAAGTTGCTCAGAGAGAGGTGAGGAGAGCGTGGCCTGAACTGTTTGCAGACCTGTGAAAGGCAGCGGTGGGAGAGCAGCGCCTGGTGCATGCACATCACCTTCTCCCCCGTGACGGGACTGCACGTGGCGGGGGTGGTTATTCTCCACAATTGTTCGTGGTCCTGCCAAGAAACCCCAGGGCCCTGTTGTGCAAAGTGTGGCCCCGATCTGAACGATTTTGCCCCATCTCTTCTGTACCCCAAAAAACCGCCACCGTGGGTCAGGCTGACGGTGCAATGTAGCCCGACGTCTGGGTCCGACGGTGGCAGGTAGTGGATGCTCTGGAGGAAGAGGCTAAGCAGCAGTGCACGTGTTGGGGCTGGTCCTGCTTTGAGCAGGGGGTTGGATTAGATGGGACCTCCTGAGAGCCCTTCAGCCCTCCTTGTCTATGATTTTATGTCCCTGTCGCTCCTGCTTAGAGCCTGAGGTCTCCTCCCAACTTGTGTTTGATAGCCCCCGTCATCCATCAGGCTATAAGATCCTGCGCTGAGCCTGGTTTCGGGGGAAGAGCCCCTGCTCCTGGCATGGTTTGACTGGTGCAGCCATGTGAGTGAGAGTTAGATATGCTACCGTTGTGCCGGGGATGGGGGTGAGTCTCCTTTGTTAATGCATTGCTCGCTCTTGGCGCGCAATGGGATGTGAGTTGGAAACCTTGCCCTGTTTCCTGCAGTTCACATGGTCACATCCAACCTGACACCCTCACCTCCAGAAGTGCATCCTTCACCCGAGAGGCCAGGGAGCCTACCCCCTTCCCTAGCCTCTCAAGATGGTCCCTTCTGATACAGGCAGAGCGTGCTGAAGCTTACCCATCTGCAGGCTGCTCGGTCCGGGAGTAGATTATGCTGAAACAAATTATTCACTGCAGAGTTTCTCTTGTGCATAGGCAAAGATATGCAAATGAATCAACAAAAACTGGTTTGAAGGGAAGCATAGATTGTGCAGTGACCCACAAACCCCCACAATTGCATTTAGTCATGGGTAGGTGGGCCCTGCAGCTCACAAGGTGCTAAAGGGGCTCGCAAAAACGTTCATTTGCACAGAGGGCTAAACATCCCTTGTACCGAGCAGGGAATCACAGCTACTTGCTCAGCCGTGACCTTGTTTTGCTGCTGTAGGGAGCAGCCATCTAGGACTGAGTGTGTTAACGGTGATTTTTATTAGTGTAGCATTCCGGATGAGAGGGAGATTGTTCTCCCCATTTCACGGACAGAAACTGAGGCACAGAGCAGCTAAGCGAGACAGTCAAGGCTATAGAGTGACTGGCTTTCCTGCATGTTATTCCAGTGCAATGTTTGCAGGGTCAGGCCGTTACTAGTGAAGTGCTAATATAGCAATAGTGACTTCAAGTAGGGTTTCGAGATGAGCTTCAAAGGGTAGAAAAAGCAACGCTGGTGGCAACG